TTTTTTAAAATTTTTTTAAAATTTTTTTAAAATTTTTTCCTTTTTTTTTTTTTTTTTTGTTTTTTTAAAAATAATTTTTTCATACATTTGAGATATATGAGAGGGCGGGTCAATTGTATATATTTTAAAACAACAACAACAACAACAACAACAACAATACCACCACACCACCACCACCACCAAAAAATCACATTAAAAAATAAACACCATCATAATTTCATTACTTTAATAATAGTAATCCAAAAAATAATAAATTAATTAATTTTTTTTTTTTTCTTTATGATAAATAATAAAAATAACCCAATAAAATTATATAAAATTAGAAAATGAATGTTCAACAACAACAGGCAGCAGTTGTTGCAGCACAACAGCAAGCTGCTCAACAACAACAAGCCGCACAACAACAAGCTGTCCAACAACAACAGCAACAACAACAACAACAACAACAGCAACAACAGCAACAACAACAAGGTCAAGGCCAACAACAAGGTCAACCAATTGATCAGTTAGGAAATGTTACATCTAAAATTAGGGAAATGAATGAATCAATTTGGATTCATTTAGGCACATATGCAGAATCAATTAATGAAACAGAGAAAGCATTAGCTTCTTATGACAATGCACTTAGACACAATCCATATTCGATAAAAGCACTTACTCAAATGGCAACATTATACAGATTAAAGGAACAATATGTAAAAGCTGCAGAATTTTTCCAAAGAGTTGTTGCTCTCGAAACAAAAAATGGAGAAGTTTGGGGTGCATTAGGACATTGTTATTTAATGATGGATGACCTCCAAAAGGCATATTCTGCCTATCAACAAGCTTTATATCATTTACCAAATCCAAAAGACCCAAATCTTTGGTACGGAATTGGTATTTTATATGACAGATATGGTTCATATGACCATGCAGAAGAGGCTTTTACTGCTGTACTTAAAATGGATAGTAAATTTGAAAAAGGTAGCGAAATTTATTTTAGATTGGGTGTTTTATATAAACACCAAGGCAAATATGACCAATCTTTAGATGTAAGTTTTTATAAAGTTTAATAATATATATGGCGAAAAAAAAACCAATTTATATTAATATTTTTTATTTTTATAGTATTTCCAACATTTAGTTAAAGTCCCACCAACTCCATTATTATCATCCGATATTTGGTTCCAAATTGGTCATGTTCATGAATTACAAAAAGATGTAAGTTTTCAAAATATATTTTAATAAAAATAAAAAACAATAAAATAAAATACTAATTTTTTTTTTTTTAATATAAAAAATTTAGTATTTAAAATCAAAAGATGCATATGAAAGAGTATTAAAAGATAACCCAAATCATGCTAAAGTACTTCAACAATTAGGTTGGTTATATCATCATAATCCACAATTTACAAACCAAGAAATGGCAATTTCCTCACTCTTAAAATCTATCGACTCTGATCCATCCGATGCACAAAGTTGGTATTTATTAGGTAGATGTTACATGACACAACAAAAATATAAAAAGGCTTATGATGCTTATCAACAAGCAGTCTACAGAGATGGAAGAAATCCAACATTTTGGTGTTCAATTGGTGTACTTTACTATCAAATTAATCAATATAGAGATGCACTCGATGCCTATACAAGAGCCATTCGTCTTAATCCATTCCTCAGCGAAGTTTGGTATGATTTAGGTACTCTTTATGAAAGTTGTAGTCAAACTACAGATTCTTTAGACGCTTATCAACGAGCCGCCGAATTAGATCCAGGCAATAAGCATATTCAAGCACGTCTTGCTACCCTTCGTGCTCAAATCTCTGGTAAACCAATCAAAGATCCATATCATGAAAATGGTGACGGTGATGGTAATCATTTAAGTTCAATAATTACTCCAATGATCATTGAACCATGCTCACCAAACCATACCAACGATCATCTCAATAAACACAATGCACGTAACGGTAATGGTGCAAACAATGGTGGTTTTGTTGAATTGGCTGATATTAATTCGCATCTCCCAGAAGAAATGAGAAATAACTCAAGTTTACCATCTTCAAACGAATTAAATTCAAGTCTAATTGATAAGAAAACAGAAAAAAATAAAGGTAATAATAACAATAATAGTTTTAATAGTAATATAGCATCTGGCTCCGAAGCTAGATTTAATAACCGAAATAATATTGATCATCAAAATAATAACCAAAATTACCATTCTAATTATTCTAATCATAATAATAACAATAATAACCCAGAAGACATTCATATTCACCAACTTCAATATGGTATGAAAGAAAATGTAAATAGACAACCAGAAGTTGATAGAAGATTAATGGATCGTGAAGGTTATAGTAACAACAATAATAATAGAGGTAATAATATGAACATTCATATGAACAATAACAAGATGGATTTAAGAGACAGAGAAATTATGAACAATAACAATGACAGATTCGACCAAAGAGAAAGATTCGACTTTATTAATAATAGAGAACGTAATAATGGTATAATGAATAATAACAATGACAGTAGATTTGAAAGATCTCAATCACCATTCGAAAATAATAGACCACACCCAAATCAACAACAAAGAGATGAAGAAAAATTAGTAATGGAAAGAGAATTAAGAGAAAGAGAACCACGTGACAAAGAGGAACGTGAACAACACCGTGAAAAAGAACGTGAAAGATCAGCTACTCCAATTAAACCAATCGTCGAAGAACGTGAAAGACCATCAACTCCAGCTGCAGTAGTCGAAAAAGAATCACCAGAGCAAAATAAAAATAGAGCAGTTTCACCAGTTTCAGAAAAAGAATCAAATAGAGTATCTCAAGAAAAAGAATCGAATCCATCTGCTGAACCAAAGAAAGAGGATGAAGAACCAGAAAAAGTTGAAGAGCCAGAAAAAAGTTGTAGAAAAAGCACAAGAAAAAGAAGTTGTTGAAGAAAAACAGGTTGAAGAAAAAGAGAAAGAGAATGAAAAGTCTCAAGAAAATGAAAAAGAAAAACCCCAAGAAAAAGAAAAAGAAGAAAAAGAAAAGGTTGAAGAGTCTGAAAAAGAAAAACTTCAATCCTCAGATAAAGAAATGAAACCGGTTGAAGAGGATGAAGAAGGTGAATTAAATGAAAATACAATTGCCACTACTACTGCTAATACTAAACCATCCGAAGATGAAAAGAAATCACCATCAAAAGATGTCGAAATGGAAACACCAAAAGAAGAGGAAAAGAAATCATCAGACAAAGAATCCACAGAGACAAAAGAATCATCAAATAAAAATACAACCACCAAAACAACAAACCCTAAATCACCACACTCATCACCAAGACCAGACGAAGTTGAACCACACCAAGACGCTTCACAAGAGGAAATTAATAAGAGAAAGCATGAAGATGAAGTTTCATCAACCCCAAGCAAAAGATTAAAACAAGATTCTCCATCAACATCAAGTACCACTACCACCACCACTACAAGCTCACCATCAGAGGAATCCTCAAGTACTGATGACAATAAAAAGAAGGACGAATCCTCATCATCCACTTCATCATCAACCTCTGATTCAAAACCAACTTCAACCACCACAACCACTAACGCACCAAAGAATGAACGTGAAAGAGATCGTGAGCGTGAAAGAGAACGTGAAAAAGAAAGAGAAAGAGAAAGAGAGCGTGAACGTGAAAGAGAACGTGAAAGAGAAAAAACCAAACAACCAGCAAGAGCCCCAATCAAACCTTCATCTCGTAAACTCGAAAGATAATTATTTATCACCTTTTATAACAATAAACCACTTACTATTACACTAATATTTATAATTTGAAACATTAACACCAAAACAAGATAAAAAAAAGAAAAAAAAAAAACTAAAAATATATAATTTTTTATATATAATCATTCAATTTATTTATGTTAATAAATTATTATTTTCAAATTTGATACGATAATATTAATTTAAATAAAATTTTTAAAATAAAATCCAATTACCAAAAAAAAAAAATTTGTATTTTTATTTATTATACTTATATCTTTTTAAATTGTAGTTTCGAGGTGCTTGTAATAGTTAATGTGGTCATTATCTAATTTAATTAATTCTTGAATAGTTTCTTTTAATTCATTTTTATCATATCCACCAATTTCAATTTTTAATAATAAAGTAATATAAATTGGCCCTGTAAAAAAAAAAAATTTTAATATCTTTTTAATACTATTTATTATTTATTTGAATTTTCACTTACATTTACAATTTGGTTCCATTTCAATTAATTCATTAATTTGTTCCAATTCATTTTTTAAAACATCGATATAATTGCTATTTGGAATGCTTTTGAGGGTGGCAACTAACCATTTGTGATAGATCCATGAACTGGAATCTTTTGGCTCTGTAAAAACAGCGCTTCTGACCAATTCAAATTCTTCTAAAACTTTTTCTAATAGTTTTTCTGGTTCTGGGTAAATTTTTGGTAAAATTGATGATCTTTGATGCCATGCTGAATAGTTTGAAAAGTTTTGTTCAATTTTGCTTGTTGTATATTTAAATTCATCCTCTAATGGTATTTTTGAATTTTCCAATACAAATCTTCTATAGCTCCAACAATGGACTATAATATAATAAAAAAGTGGGTATTAGTATTCTATAGTTTATATGTAGTGGGTCTCATAGATATCATACAATTTCTTAAATCTAAATTTAATAATTTTGAACATAATTTTAATTCTCTATCCCAATCACAATCATCTAATCTAACAGTGACCCATTTACGATGATACCAAATCCAATAACTTTTTGTGTATCTTTGGATACATTCTTCTATAAATTTTAATTCGTTTTGGTAAACTTGTTGAATATCTGAAGTACCCCTAAAATAATGGAAATAATAATATTAATAAAACTTTTTTTTTCCTTTTCCTTTTCCTTTTCCTTTTTTTTATATGATGTTTACTTTTCTTTAAATTGATTCATAACATTTCTTCTATAATTCCAAATAGTGTAATATTCTGGATTTTCTACCAAAACTAATTTTGAAACTGCAAGTGATTGGTCATCGTATTGACCATTTTCTTTTTCTCTCTATATAAAATCGAATGCTTTTATTAATATCTGCACAGTTGTGGTTTAGAATATTAAAATTATCTTTTAAAACATACCTTTTCTTCAAATGATTTAACTAATTTATTATATGAATCAATCTTTTCCAACTCTTTTAATTTAAGAGCTCTTGCTTTTTCTTCCGATGTTCTAACTTTTAATACACCGTGCTAAAATAATGAACATTTCGTTAGAAATCTAAATATATACTATGTAGTTTACATAAAATTAAAAAGATTACTTTACCATTTTATAATTTTTTTATCCCAAACAAATAAACTAATGAATTTTTAAAAAAATTTTAAAAAATAAAAATATAAATTTAAAAAAAAAAAAAAAAAAATATTTTTTTTTAAAATTTTTTTTTATTAATTATTTTTTAATAATAATTAATTTAATAAAAATCAAAGAATGCAAAATAATGTATCACCTCCACAACAGCAAGCACAGCAAATTGAAAATGTATCAGCATTTCCTCCGCCACCTCAATTTTATAAATTATATTTAAATTATACAAAGGATCAATTTAAAGACAGAGAAAATAAAGAAAAGATTGATACCACAACAACAAATAATAATAATAATAATAATAATAATGAAGAAAAACAGCAATCACAGGATGACCAACAACAAATGAATGTAGATGATGATAAAGATAAAAAAAAAGATAAAAAAGCAGAATTAAATAAACCATTACCCCCACCAATACCACCAAAAATGGGATCTCACTATGTCCAATTTGGTCAAAATTATTCAACTGTTGATATGTTACCATCACTTGATGAATCTGGATCAAAGCAGTTATACCCCAAAGGTGATATTGAACCAATTGCAGAATTAAAAAAATTAAATAGATCAATTTTATTCAACTATTTACAATTACTAGAAACTCTTATTGAGAATCCTACCAATTATCAAAAAAAAATAGATGATATCTCTTTATTATTTATAAATTTTCATCACCTTTTAAATAGCTATAGACCTCACCAAGCTAGAGAAACCTTACTTTCAATTATGAATGAACAAATTAAACAGAAATTTCAATCCAATGAAACTATAAAAAAGTATATTTTTTTTTAAATTAATACATAAACTCCTTTTTCTTTAAAACTAATGTGCATGCCAACTATTTTTATTTTTATTTTAGATCTTTGGAGATCTGTAAAGAATCAATTAAAAAATCATTTAACCATTTACAAGTTGAAACTACAAACCCAATAACACCAAACCCCAATATAAACCCACAATCTACCGATGGTTTGGCTCAAACATCACAACCACAAAAGCCACAACAAAATCAAAATAATGATATAAATATGGGTGAAACCAATTGGATGGATCAACTTTTAGACGAAATGTTAGAAATAAATTAGTTTAGATTTAAATTTAAAATAAAAAAATAAAAGAAATTTATGTAAAAACTAGTGTCAAATTATAAAAAAAACATAATAATATTATTTTATTATTTTATAAACTATTTTATTATTTTTTCTTACTAAAATCATCAAATCCGAATGGATCTGATTTTTTCTTTTCTTTTTCAAAGGCAACTGGACCAGTTCTTTCTTTTGATCTATCTGTGCCGCTAAATTCTTTATGAGGTTTGCTTGATGTATTGCTACCAAATCTACTTTTACTTAATACATCGTCGATTGTAGTATTGTCTTCTTGATTATTTTTTGGTCTATAAATTGAATTTGAAACTGCTCCTCCAAATAATGGTTTTGAATAAACATTATAAGAGTCATCAGTACCAAAGCCACTTGAAAGTGAATCGGATTGATTGAAAAGTCTTTGATCATAGATTGAATCTTCAGTTCTTGTATGGTTGGCTTGACCAAGTGCAATCTTTTCACTAATATCACGATCTTGATCTCTATTTAATTTTGATTTTTTACCACTAGCTTCTAATCTATATTCACGTTCTAACTCCCTTTTCTTTTCCATTCTGATTCTATCTCTTTCTTTCTTTTCTCTTCTTTCTTCTTCTTCGCTATCTGATGAATCACTATCTGATGAGTATTTCTTTGATGATGATGATGGTTTATTATACTTTCTATCTTCCTCTCTATATCTTCTATCACGGCTATCGTCTCTGCTATCTCTTCTATCACGACTATCGTCTCTTCTGTCTCTTCTATTATCTCTTCTTCTATCTTCTTCATCGTCAGAATCATCTCTTCTTCTGTCTCTTCTTTCATCGTCACTTCTATTTCTAGTTGATGTAGTTGTTCTTTTATCTCTTTCATCCTCTGAATCACTATTATTTCTTCTTCTAGAAGCTCTTTTGTCATCGTCTGAATCGCTTTCATCGCTGCTGCTATCATCTCTTTTATATTTATCGTTTCTTTGTTGTAAAATTCCAGATCTTTCATTTCTAACATCCTCTGCTAACTTTCTTAACATTTCTTGTTTTCTTTCTTTTTCTTTTAGGGCTATCTTTTTCTCTAATTCAGCACGAGCTGAAACTTCTTCACGTGCATTTGATTCGGCTATATAAAGTGCTTGGGTGAAATGGGCAAATTTATCATTAATTTCAACATCTTGTAAACCTCTACCATCGGATGCTAAACGTTTATCAATTGCAATAGCAAAACCTTTTGGATTTTTCCAATTTGAAATACATGGTGGAATTTTCCAATCTTGTTGCTCTTGGACAGTTAATTTACGTGGTGGTGAATGCATGACTGGTGGTGGTGGTGATCCATGCTCTATAATCTTCTTTTTTATTTTATATTTTGGTGGCTCTAATGGATCTACAACTGTATCTACCATACGAATAATTCTAGATTGTGTGCCATCTGATGAGCTTTGGTTTGCTGGTGTATATTTAATATAGGTTGCTCCATTTTGTGGTGTATCTACTAAATTGGTGGATTTTGATGATCTAATTTTACCACTGACAATCTTTTCCAATGCATTTTTAGTACGGTCTAAAGTTTCCTGTATCTCTTGATCATCTGGTCTTGAAAGTTCATTCTCTGTAAATTGTTTTGGTACTAAATCTTTATATTGTGAATGTATCATTGCTTTATTTCCTAAAATTGCCTCATGTCTTGCATTACCATGGGAATCAACTTGTAAGTTAACTGCTACCAATGCACTACTATTTGTATTGCTACCTGTTGCTTTATTTGATTTAACTTTTCTTCCCATATCCATAGGATATTGAACTATATGAATCTCTGGGAATGCACCACCATCTCCAAAATCTTCAATTGTCTTTGGTAAATATCCTTTTCTTTTTCTATATGGTGGTACAATTTTTAAAACCTTTTCTACATGTTCTTCTTTTTTAGTTTTTTGTTGAAATAATGGATGTTCTTCTTCATTATCATATAAATTTTTTGGTTGTGGTAATAAACTTGATAATGACATTTTTTAAAAATAAAAAATAAAAATAAAGATTATATTTAAATAAATAAATAAATAAATAACAACCAAATAACTATTATTATTAATTATTAATTATATTATAAAGTTATATAAAATTTTTAATTTTATATTTTAAAAAATTTAACAAAACAAAAACGCAATATTGAAAAAAATTAAAAAAAAATTAAAAAAAATTTTAAAAAAATTTAAAAAAATAAAAAAAAAAATAGTTTTTAAAAATAATTATTAAATATTATTTAATTTTTAATTTAAATTATTTTAAATCTTATAAAGATTATCTAAATATGTATTTGTGTGTATCATTTTTAAATTATTTTAAAAGTTTGTGTGTATGAAAGAATAATCAAAATTCAAATTATTTTATTAAAAAAAATAATTTTATGGTTGTATAAAATTAAAATACTATTACTAAGAAACATAATCAAAATTCAAATAATAAATGGTAAATTTTTTCAAATAGAATATAAAGTTACATATCTATAGTAGTTCTTATTTAATTGTATTGTGTACAACTTTGATTATCTATAATATTAGGTTGTTTCATCAATTTTTTTTTTGTCTTTTAAAACAGAAAAATTTTATATATGTCTATAAAAAATAAAATTTAAGGATATAAATTATATCACATAATAATTATAATAATTTACAATATTTATCCAAAGTTAAATTAATTAAAAGGGAAATTTAATAACCAGAATAGAAACTTTCAAACTCAATGGAAATAAATTAAAAAAAAATTATAATTTAATATTCTTTCCCAATAATATTATTGATATCCCAGAAACTAATTTAATACTGATATTGATCGTCCATAAAGAGAATCAATTTAATGTTAGATCAAATGGATACAAAATAATCCATTTCATAACCTCTTGTATGTATTTCCTATTGGTTCTTATATAAATATGGATCATTCCCAAAATCAAAAACTAAAGGAACACCGAAACCATCACCGTCTCGAAAAGGGATGGTAAATGGAAAAAACCTAAGATTGGTTTGTCATACTCATCAAAAATTCGTAGTATTATCAATAATATTTTATTTTGGTTTTAAAAAAAAAAAAAAAGTTTAAATAAAATAATTTTAAAAAAAATCATATCTAGATTAGAATTTGCGATCTAGATTTATTTTTTTATTTTTTTTTTTATTTTTCATTTACAATCATTGTTATAAAAACCAATTATCATAAAAAAATCAAATAAATATATTAATCAAATAATTATAATAAATTCTTTTTTTATTCTGTATTTGCTTTTTTTATTTCTAAAAAATAAAAAATAAAAAAAAAAGTTATTATTTCAAAAAAAAAATTTTTTTAAAAAAAATTAAAAAAAAATCAAATTTTTTCACACCCCCAAATTTATTATTTTTTATTAATTTTTTTATTTTATATATATTTTAAATAAATATAATATCTTTATTATTTTATTTTTTTTTTCGTAATATAGTTTTATAATAAAAACACACAACAATACAATGGTAATAGATATTCAGGATATATAAAAAAAGTCAAAATATTTTTTTAATACTTATTGTATAATTATATTTTTAACATTTTAGGCCAAAGAAGATAGCACCCAAACTCTCTACAGAGAAGCTTTTAATTTATTCGATAAAGATAAAGGTAAGCGAACAACTGTAGCAGTATTTACACCACTATAATCGGATACTCTACTAATTTGTGTTTCTTATAATCGACTATAAAGATGGTAAAATTTCAATTCAAGAATTAGGTGTTGTTATGAGAAGTGTTGGCTCAAATCCAACTCAAGCAGAATTAAAAGATATGGCTAAAGAAGTTGATGATGGTTCAGGTTTTGTCACTTTTGAAAAATTTGCACAATTAATGACCAGAAAAATGAAATACTCTGATAGCGAAGCTGATATCAAACAAGCTTTTAAAGTTTTCGATAAAAAAGGTAATGGCTATGCCAATATTCAAGATTTAAAACACACTTTAACTTCAATTGGCGAAAAATTAACTAAAGAAGAGGTAAATATCAATTTCTTTTATTCTAAAAATAAATTCATAAACATAATTCTAATCATTACCACTTCATTTTTTATATAATTAGTTTGATAATATGTTAAAAGATGCCAAAACTGTTGATGGTCAAATTCATGTTGACGAGTTTGTTAGAGTCATTAAATCAAGTAAATCATTCAACTAAACTTTTGTTTAAATGAATTAAAATACATATATAATTCCCAATAATATCATATATAACATAAAAAATAAATGTAATTTTACAAAAAAAAAAAAAAAAGAAACCCAAGATATTTTGTTAATAATACACATTTATTATATTTTTTAAATACTATTTACAAATGTTTTATTTTATTTATTCTATTTTTCGTTTATGTTTAAATATTAAGATGATTTATTGCATTTTTTGTTTTTTTTTTTAAATGGAAATATTATTGATTATTATTTGTATTATTTGTATTATTGCTTTTATTGTCAATACTATCTACATTGTTTATACTATTATCACTATTATTATCGCTATTATTATTATTATTATTAATATTATTGTTGTTATTATTATTATTATTATTATTATTATTATTGTTATTATTATTATTATTATTGTTTTTCTTTGAAGTTTTCTTTATTTTACAAGATTCAATATGAATTATTGGTACAAATGCAACACCTAGTTCCTTTCTGTAAGTTGATGAATCTGAATCTGGTGATTTTACTTCTTCATATGCATTATTTAATAATATATTTTGTTGTTTATCAAAACAATAGAATTTCCCAATAATGGATCTATTATTTTTAGTTGTAATTTTAATTTTTTTGCCCATCCATGATTTAACACTGTTAATCGATTCGCTTTCATTGATAGTGACATTGATGGCGCTTAAATTTTTTTCTTTGATTTCCTATAATGTATTTCAAATTATTACAATATTGTTCAGTATTAGTATATAGATATATAAATTTGGATTTGTGTGCAACACATAGTATAGTGTCTAAATAAGGAATGTTATTACCATTGGTTGCTTGTTATATTAATTTGAATGAGGAAGGAATGAGAATTTAAATTTTTTAAAAAAAAATAAATTTTTTTAATAATTTTTATTTTTATTTTTTTTTTTTTTTTTTTTTCTTTTTTCTTTTTTTTATTTTTTTTTTTTTTATTTTATTATTATTATTATTATTATTTTTAAATATTAACTTTTTTTTTTTTTTTTTTCATTAGTAACAATTGTTGTATATTAAATATTTAAACATGTTTTTTTAATAAAAAGCATTATTAAAAAATAGGATGGAACTTAGAAATTATTTTTACAATAAACTAAGATCCGTTATCCCCAACAATAGTAATAATAACAATGATAATGAAAACAATAACGAAAATAACCAAAACAATAATAATAGTAAAAAATTTTCATTATTTATAAATCCCTTTTCTAATGGCAATAATAATAATATTAGTAATAATAATATAAATAACAATAATTTAAATAGTGACATTGTTTCGCCTTTTATCGATATTTATAGTAATGATAATAATAATAATAATAATAATAGCAACAATAATAATATAAAACCAATGTCGAATAAAGAATTTGAAAATAAAAAAGAGATTTTAAAAAGAGAAACAGAGAAAGTACATTTACAAAATTTAGAGTATGAAAGAGGAGAAAAAAATAAAAGAGAAAACAATGAAAAAAGAGAAAAAAATGAAAAAGCGTACAATGAAAGGGTAAAACAGCTAAAAGAACAAATAGATAATAAAAAAAGAGTTGCTGCAGAGAGTGATAATAATTTAAAAACAACACCAAGCGTAGTTTTACAGCATCCAGCTCAACAAATTACCCAGAAGCAATTACCCCAACCTAATCAACAATCTCCTCAAAAACTTCTACCGCAACCAATTCATCAATCTCCTCCAAAACAACCTCCACAGCCACTCACACAAACAATTCAAAAACAACCTCCACCACAGCCAATATCAAAGTCCCCAATAAATAGTAAACAAAAGAAACCTCAGCTACCCACTCAACAAAAACAATTACCACCACAACCATTAAACCAACCACAAGCCCAACAAAAGCCTCTTCCTCAACCACAAACACAAACACAAAAACTACCAAAAACACCATCACAACAACCACAACAAACACAAAAAGATATACAAGCACTTCAACGATTTAAACAGGATTTATTACAAAAATTACATAGTTCAAACTCAAAAGAAAAAAAAATACGATCTAATTTGGAAATACAAATACAGGAATCTCAAAAACTACAAGAAAATTTTGATGGCAGGCAGAAATTAGCTTGTGAAAAATTTGTTCAAGAGTTACAAAAAAATTTACAACAATTAAAACAATTATACCAAAATATCCAAAAATTACAACAGTTACACATCCAACAACATTCCTACCAAGATGTACCAGAATTAGAACAATTATCCAAGCTATGCCTAGAACAAGATCAAATTCAAAAGCAATTAGATGCTCAGAGTCAACAATTAGATTTAAATGATAAAAGATTAGAGGATTTCAAAGAAAAGGTAAAATTAATTAAACAGCGACAGGAACCGATAAAACCACAACCTAGAACTGCAAGAAAAAGAAGTCAAGTTGAAAAGGATGATAATTCAGAAAATATTTCAAACGATCATAGAGAAAACACTTATGATAAATTGGTTACATGTTTTCAAAATGAAGTTCCATATTTCAAAAGTTTGGATTTAGAGACTAAAAGAAAATTAGCAAGGGTGGTCGAAGAAGATACATATAATAAATCCTCAAATAAACAAGATTATATAAAGAGGGTTTCAAATCAATATTCTATAGTTTTGGGTGGCACAGTACCTGAATATTTATTGAACATATTACCAAAAGACTTTGTAACCACATTACAAGAAAAAAACATTTATGTTGACATCGATAGCAATTCCAATGCAGCTTTTTCTAACTTTACACCAACAACTGCCACATCAACAACTGTCACATCATCAATACGTCCACCATTTAACGAATGGATTAAAATTTTACCATCAGATTTAATAAAAATGGAACTTGTCAAAGACTATCATCATTTACTCAAGTATCAAACACCATCAGAAAGACCTGACTCTTTATCAGAAAGTTTTTTATTGAGAAAATATATGCAATTGACCATTAAAGAATTAAACTATCCAATTGATAATTTAGTACTATTAGCAATTTCATCTATTCTCTCTGCTGACTTTAAAGAGTTAAAGGAAAAATATTTCGAAATTTATAGAACTAATGTCAAAGATGGAATTGTAAGTACAACTATTTAAAAAATTATTAAAATTATGGGGTTTTAAATACTGATTTTTTTTTTTTTTTTTAATTTTAGTTTCAAACCAAAGACATAAATCTAAACTCTGAAATTTTAGAAGAAATTAACTCATTAGATATTGACAAGTCATTAAAGATTGAACCATTAGAATTAACAAATAATGAAAAGGTTTCGAAAAAATTAACAGATATATCAACCTCAATTGAATCAAAATTTTTAAATATATTTAATAGACTTCACAAAACACATGTTTTTAATAATATAGATATAAATAATAATAACAATAGTATAACAATTGTCGATAAATCTAATAATATTATCGATAAATATGATTATTATAAAAATACTTTAATTAAAAATAAAAACAATAATAATAATAATAATAATAATAATAATAATAATAATAATAATAATAATAATAATAATAATAATAATAATTTTAAGAAAAGAAAAATTGAACATTACTTCGAAGCTGCCCCAGTAAGCGCAAGTAAAGAAGAATCTTTAATTGGTAAAGGTTGTAAAAAGAATGGATGCTTGATTTGCCAATTAAATATACCACGTTGTTTACATCAATCCAAACCAACTTGGGATAATATTATATGGGTAGCGCTTTATTCGTTAACACAATTACAAAAGAGTACTGAAATCTTTATTAAAGAAATTCTCGATTATTTTGAAGAACATTGGGATTTAATATGTATATCAAAACCAAAAGATAATAATTTTAGAAATTTGATAAAAGTATGCAGTTGTAGAATTAATGTCATTTATTTTAAAACTTTTATTAATATAATTTTTTAATTTTTTTAGGGTGCAATGTTGGAATCAAATGTTTTAGTTTCAGTGATTGGTTCATTTGGGTATTGGAAATTAGTAACAATTAATAATCCATGGGAAAGTGATAAACCAATTTTAGCCGATAAAAAGCAAACAACACATCAGACAGTTAATGAAAACGGCTCAGCATCATTAAAGAGACCACTCACACATATTAGCAGCAGTTCAAATAGTTTAGCCATACCAAAGAAAACCAGGTTATCATCTAGCACAAATGAAAAGAGAATGTGGTATGATAATGATGTGTCAAAAGGACTTTATACATATCCATTAAAGGCTGTTAATGAAGTTGATACCCAACCATTAACCGAAACTCTAACCAACTTTAAATGGATTGATAAATCATTTTGTGACCATAAACCAATTCATAATCAAGAGGATATTGAAGGCTTCCTTTTCGGCTGTGATTGCAAAGGTGATTGCTTTTCAAATCGTGACACTTGTATATGTATTAGAGAAAGTGGTATTACCTATGACTCAAATGGCGGCATTGATACTGTTTCAGATTCAATTTTAGAGTGTAACAATTTATGCAAATGCTCTCACGAAAAATGCAAGAATAGAATCATTCAACGTTCCCAAAATAATTATTCCTATCCATTAGAGTTATTTAAAACACCAAACAAGGGGTGGAGTGTCAGAGCGGTAATAGAAATTCCAAAAAATAGTTTTGTTTGTGAATATGTAGGTGAAATTATTACACATAAAGAAGCAGATCGTCGTGGTTCAAAATATGATAGTAACGGCTTAAGTTATTTGTATGATTTGGACTACAAAGGAAAGGAGGATTGTGAAGTGTAAGTATAAAATTAATATATCTTTTTAAAAAAAAAAAAAAAAAAATAGTTTAATTAATTTATTTTTTCCACATAGAATTGATGCAACTTTTTATGGTAATGTAGCAAGATTTATAAATCACTCGTGTGATCCAAATTTAAAGAAATTTTTCTTCTTTTTTGATCAAAGAATAGAAGGTTCAAGAGCAAGAATTTCATTTTTTAGCTCCAAAGTTATCAGAGAGGGCGAAGAACTTACCTTTGACTATTGTTATGAATTACCCATTGGTATTGAACATCTTAATGAAATCGAGGGTGCTATACCATGTCATTGTGGATCGAAAAAGTGCAGGAAATGGCTTTGGGTTCCAAATATTTCTTAATTACTCCTAATACAGAAAAACATATGACTTTAAATAATAACAACATATTAAACCAATTTATAGTTAAAATATAATTACGAAAACTCTTTAAATAATAATTTATTAATTTAAATTATTTAAAGCCTTACTAATAAGAACAAATAAAAACTTTTTATTGTATATAAATATATTTTTTTATTTATTTATTACTTTCTAATTTTTTTTTATGATTTAAACAACATAATGTGCTGCAATATTTATAATTTAATCTTTCGAAAGGTATACCTAAAATAAATAAATTACAAAAATCGCAGTTTTTTAAATTTGCACCAGATGTTCTTTGTTCAGCAGCAAGCGCTCTACGTTCTCTACTTGATAATTGGGATTCTTTTGAAATTTTTGATCTTTGTAATTGATCGACCAAGTTGATCTCGTCTAATTTTTCTGATTTTAATTTATCCTGTTCAGTTTGTTTTTCTTTTTCTTCTCTTCCATGTTGCTTTTTAGTTTTTTCCTTTTCTCTTTGTTGCTTTCTTTTTTGTTTTTTCTTTTCATCTTTTTCTTGTTTCATTTGTTTGGTCAATGGAACTATATGGGCTCTTGTATAGTCCCATTTATCGAGATGGTCACCTGCCCACTCTCTAAATGTATCTCTTGTTTTTTGGTCACTTGAACTATCGTAGGGTGTCTCTGGATGTAAACCACCTACAACTGTTGGATCGGCACCCTTATTCAATAAGAGCTCGATCATTTGGCAATTTCCTTTTGATGCAGCTCTATGAAGACAGGTTACATAGTCCCAACGAGGATTTAATAAATTGATATCGGATGGGAATTGATCTAAAAGATATGATGCCATTTTAATATCTGAATTATCGATAGCAATAAAGACTGGTGCAATTAATAACTCTTTCTTTTCTTCATTGGGCACAGGAATTTCATAAGAACTATCTTGCTCGATAAGATATTTAACTTTGGCCAAATCACGTTCTCTACAAGCAACAAACAATCGATCGTTATCATAACTGGACTTCTCTTCCAATTCTCTTTGTTCATCTAATTCCTTTTCATTTTTATTTTGATACTCTTTTCTTCTCTTTTCTTTTTCTTTTAGTTTCTGCTCTTGCTCTAATCTTTCTTGTCTTTCTTTTTGTCTTTTTTCTTGTTCTTCTTTTTCTAATTGTAACTTTTCTTCATCAAATAACTCTATATCGGCTGAACTGATCCAAGTTGATACTCTTTGAGCTTCAGAAAAGGTTGGTCTGATAATTGGGAATGGGATGGTTCTGATTCTTTCGTCCTCAACTGAAAGGAAACTTTGTGGTGGGAAAAGAATATCTCTAGTGTTACCTTTTGGTGCAAAAACGAAAATATGTGAACACTCTTTGAAATGTTGTTTCCATGATTCCATTAATTCAAATACCTCCTCCTTGAGACGCTTTTCATTATAACGACGCATACCAGCACCAGCAGATTTCTTGTTACCACTTTGATTGTCTTTAGTTGATTGAGCACCACCTTGCTTCTTTCTCATGGTATAACGATGGAAAGTTTTATGATCTATGCATTTACCTGCGCTATATACAGCACCTGCAAATCTGCCACCAGAGCATAATAAAACCACCCATTTCAAATCTTTTGACAAAACATATTTCTTAAAATTGCTTATAATTTGGTCGAGTAATTGCTTTTGTTGAATCGATTGATCCTGAGCTTGTGATAGGTTTTTAAACATTGAAGATGGACCCAATAGACATCTCCAAACTGAAATTTGTAATTTTAAATCTTTTTGAATAATTTTAACTTTTGGATCGTTCATTTCGACATTATTGTCATAAAATTGGTAACCTTGAGTTTTATAATAGTACTCCTCGTCATAAAGATCTGGGTTTTCTGAAACATTATTCTTTCTTAAAAGATACTCTTCATCAGATGAATCATCTGACGATGATCCAAAACTATCATCCTCTGATTCGCTGCCACTGTTTTCAGCTTCTTCTGGACTATTGTTTTTATTTAATACATCTTGTTTGTGCCACTGTTTAATAGTATTAAGTAATGTATTATATTCTTCTTCTGAAACTGGTGCCATATGTGACACACGTAAATTTAAATTATATCTGTGTACTCCTGATTTATAATGTGCATTTCTTAATTCTCTATCTGTAAAGCTAACTATACATGTAGTACAAAGATGGTTAAATGAAGTGGTATCATTGCTATTATTTGTTGTTGTAGTAGTGGTAGTGCTGGTATTTATATCAATATTATTATTATTATTATTATTTGATAAAGTTTGTGGTTGAGGAGATTTGGTTGGTGTGCCTCCTGGTGCCAAATTACTGCTAACAATAGTTGGTGTTGAAACTATACCATTGGTCAATACCTCTAATTTATAATCTTGTTGAAATAATGTTGATGTTGATAATTTAAATATTGGCACTCTTTTCATGATTTGGACTTTAAAAAAATTTTTTTTTTTTTTTTTTTTTTTTTTTTTTTGTTTAAGTTTTAGAGTAGGGTTCTGTTTAATATTTTATATTTCTAAAACAAAAATATAATTATATTATTATTAAATTTAAAAATAATACTAAAAAAATTTAAAATAAATTGAAAAAATGAAAATAAAAATGAAAAAAAAATTTTAAAAAAAATAAAAAAAAAATAAAAAAAAAATAATTAATTTTATGGGTAATATATTTGAATTTAGCTATACTCAAATATTTAAAATGAGTAAAAATGGAGAAAAATCCCAGTTTATTTAGGAAAAATATTTTTTTTTCTTTTTTTTTGTTTTTTTTTTTTTTTTGTTGATCAATTTAAATAAACTATAGTTTATATATATTTTAATAAAATTTTAATAAAATATATATAAATATATAAATAAATAATTATTTATTTATAAAAATAAAATTCAACTATTATTTCCATAGTTTATAAGAAAATTTTATGAATCATCATTATTTAAATTGATTTCAAAATTTATGTGTGGGAAATTTTAAAAAATTAAAAACCTAATTTAGATCAACAAATGCAAAATTAATTTTTTTAAACTTAAAAATTAGCCCAAAAGCCCCATTATTAAAAATTATAAAAAAAATTTATCAAAAAAAATGTATTGATAATAATAAAAATAATAATAATAAAAAATAATATAATAATAAAAAATAATATAATAAAATTATAAAACAATAAAATAATAAAACAATAATAACATGAAACAATTATTAATAATGAACTTTTTTTAAAATAAAATATATTTTTTTTTTTTTTTTTTTTTTTTTTTTTTTATTATTGGATTTTCTTTCTTTATTATTATTATTAATTTTTTTTTTTTTGGGATGGTTAAATATAGTTTTATAAAAAAAAAAAAAACTTGTGTGGGTTTTGTTTGGCTGTGTTAAAAAAAAAAATTAACCATTTATCATAAAATAGGTTTTATTTCTGATAAAAAAATATTTTTTTTTTTTTTGTGATAAATGGATATTTTTGATTTAAATTAATTTTTTTTTTTTTTTTTTTTAATTTAAAAAATTGGATATAAATATTGAAAAATTTTGTTATTTTTTTTTTTTTAATATACCATTTCATTTTAATTAAATTATTTATTTTTTTCAAACTTATAACATATAATATATACTCATAATGTCAACCACTGCCAATCCAGTCTTAGGTGATATCCAAAAAGGTGCCAAACTCAACCACGTCCAAACCGTTGATAAATCAGAACCAATTATTGACAGTATGTATTAGCTAATAGTGGTGCGCTGCCACCCAACCAATAAAAACAAACATTTTAAATTAACACAACTTTTTTTTTTTTTTTTTTTCCCAATCCAACAGAGGATGTCCACATCAAAAAGAACAACCACGATGACTTATTATCTGATATCTCCAAAGGTGCCAACTTAAACAAAACCGACACCAACGATAGATCAAAACCAGCCATTGACCCAAATACCCACATCAAAGAAAACAACAAAGGTGCCTTACTCAGCGAAATTAAAGCCAAAGGTGCTGAAAATTAAATAAATTATGTATAATTCCATTTTTATTGATTATTTTAATATAAGTAAAATAATCATTTTGTTGTAATTTAAAAAAAACATCTTTAAAACTTTATTTCCTTTTTTTTTTTTTATTTAAAACTTTTTTTAATTTTATACAGTGTAAATTAAACCTTATTCTTCTATTCCCAACAATTGAGTTTTCAACCATATTTACCACCTTTGAGCACCAACTGATTTCATTTGGCCTAATTGTTAAAATAAAAACATAACAATATAATTTGTAAAGTTTAACATTATTTATAAATTTATTTTTTGTTTTTAAATTATTTAGAAATTCACCTATTGTGTGATATTTGAAATTTAATTTTTATTTTATTTATCCATAATGGGTGTGAATAATATGATTTATTACTTTCAAGGTTTTTTTTTTGGTTTAAAATATGTCGTAACACCCTCCCCCTATTAAATTAAAAACAGATTACAAAAATTAAAGTTTAATTATAATTAACTTTATTCAAAAATAATAAAAAGTGATAATTGATTATTTTTAAAGCAAATAGGGAGGTACTTTTTTTTTTTTTAAATTATTTTATTTTTTATTTTTATAAATATTTAAATTTTAAAAATTTAAAAATTTTTTTTTTAATTTTTTTAAATTTTTTTTAAATTTCAAATTATTTTACTGAACGATATATAATTACAAAAAATATTTATTTTAATAATAGATTAATATTAATTAATAATAGATATTGTAAAAACAATAAAATAATATGCCTCGTCATTCAAAACATTCATGTTCTAATAGTGGAAAATTTAGTAATTATGAAAGAGGTTTATTGCAATATGGAACAAAGAAAGAAAGATTAGGAAAAGACTCAATAAAGAATTTTGACAGTTGTTCATTGTGTTTAAATGATGTTAGAATTCCGATGGCATGGTATGTTTATATATATATATAGATACAATACTTTATACAATCCCAAAATAATAATAATAATAATAATGGCATATACAACGATATACAAGTATTTAGTATAATAATTAATAGTAACGACACAGTACTCTAGTAATAAACTTTGTAACAATATCATAAATAAACAATAATTAACTTTTTATTCTATTATTAATAATAATTTAAAATTATGAAATTCTAATATAATTTTTATAAAAAAAAAACAGTAATAAAGGTCACTTGTATTGTAAAGAGTGTATTTTAACATCGTTCATTGATCAAAAGAAAGAGCTTAAAAGAAAAGAAAAAGAATGGGAACAACAACAAAAGAAAATAAAGGAAGAAAATGATATTAAAAATGAAAAAGAAGAAAAAGAAAAAATAAAGGAATTTGAAAAAAGTTTACATTCACTAGAAAAAGTTGGTTCTGAAGAAAATAATAATAAAATAACAACTACAACTACAACAACTACAACAACCTCAACATCAATGTCAACACCAAATATACAGATTAATAAAGATAAAGATAATAAAGATAATAAAGTTCAAGAGTCTGAAGTAAAACTAAATAGCTTTTGGATTGTAGGTTTTATTACACTTATATACATATAATAGTATAACATAACATAATATATAGATATAAACAAAGTAATGGATATTATAGTATTAACACAAGTTTATTTTTTAGCCAGGTGTAGGACCCGAAAGTAAAGAAAAAGCAATTGAAAAGCCAAAAAATTTTACAGTTTGTCCAGAAGGTAATCATCCTTTAAAGTCCAAGCAACTAATTACCGTTAATTTTAGCACAATAAAGGGATCAGATAATAGCGATTCAAATAAATACTGTTGCCCTATTTGTCAAAAGACTCTTACCAACTCAACCAAACATATTAGACTATTAAAAAGATGTGGTCATGTATTTTGCTCATGTTTCGATCAATTTAAAAATGAAGCATGCTACATTTGTGAAAAGCCTTATTCTCCCGAAGATATCATTTCACTTCAAAGAGGTGGAACCGGCTTTTCAAGTAACAACTCATTAGAGGCTCAAAAATATACTCCAACTGCTGTAATTTAAAATAATAAATAAATTAAAGTTTCAAAAAAAAAAAAAAAAAAAAAACAAATGGTTGCTTTATTTTTTTTTTTTTAATGCTCTCATCAAATATAAACTAATCATCACTTTCAAACATCAGATCAAATGTATATTTTTATTTTTAATTTTATTTTCTAATTAAATTTAAAATTTTTTAATTCATTTTTAAATTATTGTTTTTTTTTTTTATTATTAAATACCCCCCCCCCCCACAAACCCTATATATATATATATAAATATATATATAAATAAAAATAAAAAATTAAATTAACCCACACACACACACACACAACACAAACCCACACACATGTATAACACCTCCAAATACAAAAATAATATAATTGTATAATAATATAACAAATAATACTAGTATTATTTTAATATGCATAAAACAGGGGGTTAAAAATTTTTAAATTTTTTATTTAAAAAATTTTATTTTTTATTTTTTTATAATTTTTTTTTTTTTTTTTTTCAATTTTTTTTTATTTTTTATTTTTTATTTTTTAAAATTTTTTTTCTTTTTTTTTATTTTTTTATTTTTTTTTATTTCTTATTATTAAAATTTTTATATATTTGTTTTTGTTCTTTTTTATTTTTTTATATATTTTTAAAATTTCCTGTATATATTTTATTTATTTATTTTCAACAAAGAAATACACCTAAAATTCAAAAAAAAAAAAATTTTATATAAATTTTTATAGAAATACATATATATACAACAATTTTAGAAGAACTGGCAAATTTAAATAATAGTTAGTTATAGTGTTTAGAAAACAATATAAAAAAAGAAAAAACCAGCAAACTCAAATACACATACCAATTATTGTTTTTTTTTTATAGCTTTGGTTAAAAATCAAATTTTATTTAGTTTAATATATATAATAGTATAGCGGTATAGACACACCCTTATACGTTATATATAGATTTAGTAAATAAATTCCAACCACAAATAAAAATAGATAGTTTAGAAAGTATACAAAAATAATGGCACAGCTTTCAAAGCTGGAGACATCTTCAATTATTAAAAATCCATATGAGGGTAGGGTTCAGTAATAGCATAAAAAAAAAAAAGATAGAGGAAATTATTCCTATAAAAAATTAAAAATTTCATACTAAAACTTTCTTTTTTTTTTTAAATTTTTAGATATGAATTATAATGATTGTGAAATTTTACCACCAACTTTATCAGACTCTTTAATTAACGCAATTTCAGAATCAGGTGACAAAACATCAACGATAATACCTTACGATCCTTCAAACACAATTAATTTAAATCACCAAATTGATAACATCGATACAGATACATATCAACCACACTCATACTCACATAATATAGAAGATGAGGATTTAAATCATCATTACAATATTTATAGAAACGAACTGGATTCTGATGATTTACCTCAGGAAATGGAGACAGATGATGACTCTATACCACCTCCACCTTCACCACCACCCTTACCACCTTCACCACATCAAGAACAGGAGGAACCTACAATCAATGGTTTAAGCAAAAAAGATGATAATAATGGTAATAGCATTACAACCTCAACATCAACCTCAACAACCACTACCACCACTACTACTACCATTCATGAAACTATAAGCGAAGAAAAAACTAATATTAATACTATTGATAATGATAATAATAATAATATTAATAATAATATTAATAATAATAATAATAATAATAATAATAATAATGATAATAGCGGCGTAATTGGAATAAAACCAATAGTTCTAATATAAATAGTATAAATAATAATAGTAGGAGTATAAGTTGAGGGACAGATAGTTTATCGAGTTGTAATAATCCAACATTTAAAGACATAGGCATCTCAACACTCCCACTCAGAAAAAGACATATAGCACCAGATAGGGT